AGGCCCCGAAACATTTTTTGGCGGGGGCCGAACCTGGAGGTGTTCGGCCCCCGAACAAGACCACGAACGCCCGAATGTTCGGGGGCCAGCCCGAGGGCCCCCGAACGTTCGGTCAGGTAACCCTGTATATATATATATATATATATCGTCACCAACAGAACTGCCCGGTAAACCGTAGGCAGAGAGAGAGAAGAGGACAACAAACGAGGGGTTGATATATATATATATATATATATATATATACATATATATATATATATTATTGAAAAACATATTGTTTTTTTTTTACTTCAAGTTGTCAATGAGTAGTCTTATGCATGGTAAGTACTATAGCTCCAATCATAGGCACTAATAAAATAAGATTGAAACAAAAAACAAATAAAAATAAGTGGTATAAAGCTGGGCTACCAGAGTGACCCGGGTCCACTTGCCCGACCAGGCCAAAAATATATAAAATATATATTTAATTAAAAATTTTATTAAATATTTGGTAAAGAATTTCGATGTGACCCTGAGGCAAAAGTTGTTCAGTTTATTTTTATGCATAACATAGTTTTTTTTTTCGGATTTTTTGGATTTTGTTTTTTCAGATTTTGTGGATGTTTCTGTTTTTTTTTTTTGGTTGGGACCTGCCCTGGTCCTTGCATGGTCGGGCCGCACGGGAAAATAGGGTGACCCGGGCGGCCCGGCTGGTAGCCTAGGTATAAAGTAGATTTCCTAAAGTTTCCAGATCCATCCAAATATGTATTTGAAAAAAATAAAATAAAATAAAATATTTTGGAAGCATAAATAGTATATTGAAATACAGTTGCGCCATCAATCCGCTTTAACGACCATTTTGTCAAAAGTTGACATTTTTTATTTTTTGAACCAAATTGAAACTGAGTTTTTTTGCCAAAAACTCGTCAAAATTTGTCGTTCCTAAGGGTCCAAACACTGGACCCCCTGGCTGGACGTGGACCTAGCTTAAGACTAGGCACCTCCAGGCAGGACTGCCTAGAGGTACCTGGTCTCAAGTTAGGTCCATGTACAGCCAGGGGGCTCAGGAACAACAAATTTTGACGAGTTTTCGATAAAAAAACTCAATTTCAATTTCGTTCAAAAAATAAAAGATGTTCATTTTGACGAAATGGCAGCTCTTTGTGGTGCGCTCGCCGTGAGATGAGAGGCCGAAGGAAAGAAAATCACATAAAAGAAACGAAAACGCTCTTGTGAGCGCGGCTCGCCAGCAGAGTAGAGTGGTTCTAATACATATGTATGTTGTCAAACAGAGTTTCCCGGTAAACTGTATATATATAGATATATATGTGTATATATATATACACATATGGTTACCAGCCCGTACGTATGGAGGCCCCCAGGGTCTCGTTCCTGATCCGAACCTGAAGGGAATCAACCCCTGCCAAAAAGTATTTCGGGATTTTTTTTTTTTTTTTTTTGGTGAGTTCTTTATGGTGGTAGGAATATGCCTACAAAGTTTGAAGGCATTTTGCTAAGCCAAAAAAAAAAAAAAAAGCCAAAGATGGCAGTGTCATAACGTGCTCGGCCACTCACTATTTTGTTCCTTTTTCTTTTTTCACGTTTTGTTTTAACTTTATTTCGGGATCTAAATAATTTTATTATTTAAAAAAAAAGAATTATGAGTTTTGTATCATGTGAGATACACATCTATAAATTTTCATGTTATTTGAGTAAGTCAAAAATAAAAATAAAACAAATCGCCAAAGATGGCGGTGTTTAAAACGTGCCCGCCCACGCACTGATTTTAATTCTCCCTTCATTTTTTCTTCTTCTTCTTCTTATTATTATTTATTTCCATATTTTGTTTTTTTCTAGGCTACCAGCCGGGCTGCCCGGGTCACCATATTTTCCTGGCCGGCCTGGCCGTGCAAGGACCCGGGAAGGTCCCTGCCAAAAGAAAACAAAAAATCCAAAAAATCCAAAAACAAACTATGGTAGGGTGACATCGAAATTCTTTACCAAATTAAATATATATATCGTCAAATAGAACTGCCCGGTAAACCGTAGGCAGAGAGGGAGAAGAGGACAACAAACGAGGGGCTGTGACAAACTGTTTCGTCATATATATATATATATACATATATATTTTAATTTCTTTTTGGCCCGGTTGGGCAAGTGGACCCGGGCCACTCTGGTAGCCTAGTTTTTTTTCAAATTTGGTAAAGAATGTGGACGTAACGCTGAGGCAAATGTTGTACAGTTTATGTTTCTGGATAACATATATATTTTTTCAAAGTTTTTGGGTTTTTTTTTTTTTTTTTTTTTTTTTGGGTCCGCGTTCGGCTAGATTGGCAGAACGTGTCTACAGGGGGGCCCGAACATTCGAGCTCGGCCCCGACCGAACGCCAGCTACCATGTGTGTATATATATACATATATCGTCAAACAGAGATATATATAGTTGTGTATGCATCAGTTGTATGGTTGTACAGTTATATATACGATTGTATGGTTGTACGGTTAAATATACGATTGTATGGTTGTACGGTTACGTATACTATTGTATGGTTGTCGGTCCCGTAGGCAGTGTGTAGTAGTGTGTCTAGAGTGTATGGAAGCAGTGGCATGTATGGTATGTGAAGAGATGACAGGCCAAGCTGGGCATCCCCAAAGTCCCGGCCAGACTCGAACCCGTGATCTCGGTAATGGTACCTACTGTACTCTGGCAGACTGGGAAGATCAGCAGAACAACCGAGACTGACAGCGGCAAACAAGCAGCCCACGCAGTATCAAGACCCAGCATACAATACCATGGACATCCCTCGGGCGGTGCGCAGGCAGTGTCTGTAATAACTTACCTGCATCAGCCCAAGAGGGTTAGCAAGTGGCGGACCCAGCATACAATACCATGGACATCCCTCGGGTGGTGCGCAGGCAGTGTCTGTAATAACTTACCTGCACCAGCCCAAGAGGGTTAGCAAGTGGCGTCACATGATGTGAACGCCTTCCTCCGGTGTCTTTTGAACCCACCCTTGGCACAACCTCAGACCACACTGCGCATTGACAGCAGGTGTTCTAACCACTGAGCCACAAGTCTGACAGCTTTTGAAACCTTTCATCGTACCTTTGTGGGCCTTTTGGCTGAGTAAGATCAAGTGTAGTATCTGTTCTGATCTGTGGTCCATGGGGCCACAACGATATTAAATTAAATTATTTTTTCTTGGCTACGGAGGGGTCATAGAGGCAGGCTTGCCTGCCCGGTCCCTCCAGCGTTGCCTTCGCCCTGCAGTGCAGCGATGTGTGGCCCAGCCCTCTCCCCTCCGGGGAATTAAAAAACAAAAACAAAAACAAAAAAATACACCTTTCATCGTTTCAAGAGTGACCCCTGAGGGGAGAGGGCTGGGCCACACATCGCTGCACTGCAGGGCGAAGACATCGCTGCACTGAAGAGCGCCGGTCACGGCCGCCTGCCGAAACCGGCCGGGTCACTCGCCCTATGCCGTATGTTCCCATGTACGTCACTCTTGGAACAAGTCGCGTTCGGGTTAACTGTTACTAATATCTTGGTGTCCTCCTTCTTCTCTCTCTCTCTCTCTCTCTCTCTCTCTCTCTCTCTCTCTGTGCGACCTTTCGTGTTGTTGAATGGTGTCGATCGTCACATGTCAAATTCATGATTCGTCAATAGACAAACAAACCAACCTTACTTCCCTCGGTCCTTGCACCGACAAAATAATCGTACGGTTCTCCTTGGGATTCGAGCCTTGCTCGGTCAGTCAACAGCTAGGAGTATGCACTCTTCTTTTTTTTTTTTTTTTTTTTCAGAAGTATGCACTCTTCAGTAAGGGGGCAGCTACGCTTGGAAAATTTGCCCGCTTCAGGGGATACTCATATGAGGGACCCAGACCGCCCTGACGTACCCTGGACGTACCCTGGACGTATCTGACGGCTCTTACGGCGAGGCGTGTGGATGCACCTTACCGCAAGTACGTCCACAGAAAGGAGTTGAAAAACTGCTAGTGGTAGGTAGCTGTGAGTACGCCGCCCTCAGTCGCAGGCTGTCCGTCCCAATGGGCCGATTCGGAGGGCGCCAGGGTCGCAGCCGCGGTAATCTACCCAAATCCACGCGGTCCAAATTCCGTACGCCGCCGTGTGGACAGGCCGCGGCCGCGCGCGCGCCAATAACCACGCCGACGCGCGTCTGTTCTTTTTCATTTAATGATAATTTGGACCATTCTTCAATTTTTGCGCGGCATTACGCACGTAAGACCCAAAATATGGCAATGTACCTTTCCATGTTCTTGCGGAAGATTCAGTCCCATTTTGCACATTTGGAGAGTAGCGGAGCGACGACCATTCCAGCGCACGGGCCATATCGCTCCAAAAGGCCGTTCTGGGGAATTTACCATGAAATCTGCGGGCCTATCTTTATCTGAGTACATTTTTTTGCTTGAATAGTTGTCGTTTTCCTCGTACTGCGCGGGGGCCAGGTCCCACTTGCAGGAATTATGCCATATCGACCGTCGATAGCGAAGATCAACGGCCGCAATCTCCTAATCCGTGCAAGTGGGACCGGGGGTTGGAGACTGTGGTTGAGAGGTGCGCACGCAGCGGCGGGAAAACGTGCTTGCCGCCTCACACGATATCAGCTGAGCGGGAACCGTACTTCCCGCCCAATCAGGACAGCCTGTACCTCTCTCTCTCGCCTTTCGTATTTCTTTTTTTTCCTTTTTTTCTTTTTTCTCCTCTCGTGTTTCCTTTTTTCCCCCCCTCCAATCAGCAACCCGCGAAGAGAACGCCTGCACCTCCCTCTCTCTCTCTCTTGTTTCGATTTCTCCCCGACAATTTTTTTTTTCTTTTTTTACACCCGCCATTTATTTTGATTCTACCCGCCATTTCAGTATCTCATTTCTCCCCGAAACGAACGCCTGCACCTATCTCTCTCTCTCTCTCTCTCTCTCTCGCTCTCTCGTGTTTTGATTTCTTCTCCGGCATTTATTGAGCTTGTCCCCGCCATTTCGGTATCTCATTTTTACCGCGAGATCGAGAGAGCGAAAAGCAACCAGCGAAGAGAACGAGGAAGGAAGGAAGTCTTAGAGGGAAGTGGAGGAACGTTTGGCCTGCGGAGTTTTTCAACACCGCGACGCCATGGCTCAGCTGCGTTGTGCTTTCGCTCTCTTGTCCATCGTCTTTCTGCTTGGTGTCGGCATTGTCCATGGCAGGACGACGAGTCATGCCCGCCGTCAGCCGCCTGCCAATGTGAATTACGCTCAAGTGTTCCGCATTCTCGAGGAGGCGGAGAGGGATGCTAATTTACAAGCTGTGGGGGTGGCCAAGCAGGCAAATGCGGCGAACGGCCTCCTGGGAACTCCAACCATTCATCCGTGTCCATCGTTCAACGCTGAAGAGGATGTCGCGACCATCGACACGGCCATTACCGGTGCGCGAGCGGATTTTTTTTTTCTTTCTTTCTTATCATTGTATACTCGTATTTGATAACTAATAAAATACTGTAAATGTGCAAGCGGCTGTTCTCGATTTATGCGTATCATCCTTGCGCAAGGGCCATCATAATCTATCTTCTCTGTATCGCTCTAAGGGGTCATGATTATCTATCTTCTCTGTATCGCTCAAATTTTAACGGATGTCCCGAAAGACACAGTAAGCGACTTTCCTGCGTTCGCTTCTCGATTTTTTTGACTTTTTTTTTCTTCTTCTGTGTAACACCCCTCTGCAGACCCCCATCCACCCATCCTGTGATCAATTAATCACCCCGGCGCACTCCGCTCCCTCTGTCCTACCTTAATCTGCTGTAGCAAACCGAACAACGAAAGGCGGCCTTAAAAAAAAATAAAAAGAAAAGAAAAGAAAAGAAAAGAAAAGCAACGAAACGAAAATAAAGAGTTATTCTCCTCATCTGATTACATCTGGATTCGAACTCGGGTCTGCTTATCAGCATTTCATGGATGCAGTTACAGTTCAGCAGCATGGGCTAAGTAGGCGGCCGCTTGTTATAAGGCTTAGCCGATGGACTGACGAATGCTGTGAGGTTGGCCTGTGCTTCCGTTGCTTGTTTTTCGTCCGTTGTTGCTTTTCATTTATGTCCCTCTGATTGATTAGGAGTAGGATTTGAGCTCATGACTTGTTTATTATTCACAGTTACACGTCTGTAGTCCTCTGTACCTTTTAGACATAGCGAGGAGGTGGAGGAGCGAGGTAGCCTCAAGCCGTTTGGTGCGTCGTGCTCACAACAACACGTGAGCATGAAAACCCCATGACAGTGAACCTCAAGGCACCGCTCACCAGATGTGAAAAGAGAGAAACTATGGCGGGGGTGTATCTGTCCAGACTTTAGCGCTGTATACATTAATCTCCATTTTGGACGTTTGGTGAGTAGCGCAGCGAGGCCTAGTCAAGGCTCTACTCACCAGATGTGAAAAGACAAAAGCTATGGCGGGTGTATCTGTCCACGCTTTAGCGGTATATGCATGCTCCAGTTTGCACGTTTGGTGAGTAGCGCAGCGAGGGCCAGTATATTCAAATTCAAAGTCGTTGACAACAACATCAATAGGTCGCGCCAAACAGCGCAGCGACGTCGACTCCGAGGCGGCATCATCACGTGAGTCTCACCACATGGGCTGGGCTCCCTGCTTTCCTTTCGAATTTTCTCTCCCTTCTTTTTTTATCCTGTTGTTCTTTTGCACCTCGTCAATGTCTTTGTATCGGCTTTTTTTTTTTTTTTTTTCCCACTCCACGGACTAGATATTACTAAATTAATCAGAGCAGATACTACACTTTATCTTAGCCAAAATGCCGAGGATTTTTTTTTTT